GCCTGTTGTTTCTTTGCTCAGTATGGCCTTTTCGTTGTTTTGTCGAACCAAGGAATGGCAGACCAAGGTCTCCATCACGTGGAACTTCCCAAAGGGCAAGGGGACCTTGAACGACTTGGACTCGTGGACATGGATATTCTGGAATATGATGGCATGATATATATATATATATATCATCGTAGTGCATAAGTGGCTTATATAAGGCAATCTAAAGGCCAAGTCTGGAACACACTTGTTTTTGTTTCATGGAGGCTTCAGCCTTTTGACCTACACACACATTTCATCCATTTCATGCATTACAAGTTTTATGATGTTGATGTTTGATTTCGATGATTCAGCTTGGTTTCTGATCCCGAGGAATGGGTTTTTAAGATCAATGAGAACGAGTGGCAAAAGCCAAGTCATTCGATTGAGCGAGGGGTTGGAAGGAACCGGGTTTCTGGGGTGTAACTGCAAGGCAGACCCAGTTGCTTCTGTCATTTGGGGGTTGGAATTCGATATCTGGAATGCCATCCACGCCAAGGAATGCAAGCAAGTGTTATCAAGTGTTTGGGCAGGAGAGCACAGGTCATCAGATGTTCAATTTGCCGTTGTTTTTGACGGGACTGGAACGTTGTAGATTCCCTGAGTCCTGAGCATTGACTGGCCAAGAAGCGCGTGGTTAGCGGTTAGACAGGAGCCTGATGGTTGTATAGGGGGGCGAACCATGCAGCTTGTGTTCGTGGTCCATCGTGGTTCCGTGCCATTTCACTGTCCCGTTTTCAAGAGGTCGACTTCTCACCCGTTTTACCGTCGTTTTATACACATCGTTGGACCTTAACATCGTTTGACCGTTTCGTTGCGGACCACTGCTTTCCATCGGCTTTGACCTTTTTCTACGTCGTTTGATTGTCGTCGTGACGGGATGGGGTTGTCAAAGAGACTCACCAGGCAGCAAACTCCTCATGCCTCACACGGCATGCGTGAAACAGGATTCATGGCTTGAACTGTATATACTAATGCCGGCAGGAGTGCATGCAAAGTGTCCACACTGATACTTGTGGCATAGAACGCTTAGGAATAATCAGGATAGGACAGGTGTACCTGTTACTAAGAAAGGCATGGTGCCAGATGTTGCCGGATCGGCTGTTGCTGGGTCGGCAGAAGGCTCGCTGACCAGAAACCGGCTTAAAGACCTTATGTAAATCTTAGAACAGCATCTTAGCCATAGGGCGTTCTCTTCCGAACCGCCTGCAGCTGTTGGCAATGTTGGCAGGTTTTAAGGCCAAGCCGGGAGAGCCCAACGCTAATGAGATCACGTCGCTTGGGTCGCAAGAGAGGACGACCATCTCCAAGACATCTCATTGACTGGAAGAAAAACACAACGGTAAAAGAAACTGCTCTTGTTGAAAGAAGGATAGCATAAAATTGAGCAGCGTCCAAAACCTCTCATGAACAGTTTAAATAAACTTATAAACTGCAACTTGCCCGCGGAAGCCAAAACTGCAATCGTGGAAGCTTGCGGAAGCCACCGCGTCAGTATATTAGAATTCACCACTGCTGAAGCCGCGCGGAAGTGCATATTTTATCTTCTTGACAATAGTAGATGCCTAAGAAGGAGATCTATCTACTGTAACCTATGAGCTGTGGAAGAGGATTTCAACCAAACATGGCCCGCGGAAGCCAAAATGCGGGTCGCGGAAGCGCCGCGCAAGCATTGGCGGAAGCAAGTCATGAGTCATGAGTATAAGAGATCGTAGACCGGTGTTTGACACCGCTCAATTGATAAGATGGACAGCAATCAAATGGACCTTTGAACTGGTCTGTGTGTCGATGTTTTCCTTTTTTTCCATCAAGGTCACCCAGAGGTGAGGCTGCCAGGCTCCTATTTGCTTAGGAACAAGAAGCTACTAGTAGCTAGAAGCTCCAGAAGCTACTAGGTGGAGGCTGTCGCTATTAGGTTTGAGGCCATTACTACTAGGAACCAGAAGATGTATTTTTGCTTGAAAGGTATAGTGACTGGTCCCAGGTACATGTATCGGTGGAGGCGTGTGATCGGACCCGATGGCAACCGGACGGCTGCATGGGACGACATGAAGACGCGCATAGAGTGGCTTGGGCAGGTCGGGGCGTCGGGTAGGTTAGTAGCTGGTTTGTGGTTGGGTTATGTTGGTTGTGAGAAAGCATCAACTGCCCCCATTCTCATGTGTCGGACAGCGTCCTTTTTCGCGTGTCCGTTTGGCCAGAAGGACAACCTCTCATGAAAGGGGAGGGTTAGCAATCTGCTGTTCTTTTTCCGGTCGCAGAGTTCAGTGAGAAAGGGATTTGCAGGTTGGCCAAGATTTGAAGAAAGTACACTAGAGCGAGCTCCATGAAATAATCATGGTTACGACGTGGATGGCATGGCCAAAGATGACCATGAACCTCTACAAACACGCATGAATCCACTTTCCATGATTATTCCAGGGACTGCATTGGCAGAAGAAATCGAATACAAGAGTCAACAGAGCAGAACATTAGAACACCATGCATGCGTGCGTGAAGCTCATGAGAATTCACGCACCCTGGGCATTCAATGGGACCCCAGGTCCATGCAATCTGCGTGTGCAAGAATTTCACACAACGGGGTGGTCAGATAGCTCTACTTGTAGCTCGAGATATGTCCTGCCCAAGCCGCCCAATCCATCCCACGTTCCTGTCAATTTGTGAAGACCTAGAAATGGCATTTCCCGTGTTCTTACCCGCGTCAAAGGTAGATTTGACCTTGGGTAGATTGCACCACCAAACTCAGAGTTGCTGGATATGAAGCGACCGACGTACGTTTTCAGGTCTCCCATGCCTCACCAGAACTGCTTCACTCCATGGTGCCCTTGCTGGCCATTGTGCATCTCGAAGAAGGACCGTTTGTTGCTTGGCACCGGTAGACGTCTAGACGTAGGTCTCCGCGGTAGACATCTAACTGGGCGATCGGACTAGCAAAACAACATTGAGAAACTAAGAAGGTAAGGCGCAATGGCCTCCGACCTAAGAGCGATGGTCTCCAACCTACTAGCGATGGCCTTCAACGTACGAACGATGGCCTCCAACCTAATAGCGATGGGCTCCAACCTACTGGGGATGTCCTCCAACCTAACAGCGCGATGGCCTCCAATCCACTAGCGTTGACCTCCAACTTACTAGTGATGGCCTCCAACCTACTAGCGATGGCCACCAACCTATATACTATCGATGGCCTCCAATCTAAGAGCGATGGCCTCCAACCTAACAGCGATGGCCTCCAACCTACTAGCGTTGGCCTCCAACTTACTAGCGATGGCCTCCAACCTACTAACATGCCTCCAACCCAAGAGCGGTTGCCTCCAACCCACTAAACGGAGATTTGAGATGATTTGAGGAGGGGTAATTTGATGGCGGTGTATAAAAAAGGTTTGACAGATTTGTGGTGGGTCTCAATTTAAATTGTTTGGATCTTTTTGTTGAGGTCCCTTGGGTCTTCACCCAGCCCACAACGATCCAGACAAATGCTCATACCGCTAGTGTAAACCGCTTTGAGGCGGGCTAGACGGAATGTCCGCATTAAACATATTCTTTTTGGGCGGCTCCCGGCCCAGGTTGAACATGACCTACAATTCTCCAACGCAAGTGATGATCTTGCCCCCCCAGTTCCGCACAGCCGCCTATTCTGGATGTTGCATTGGACCTAGCTGTCCTTGCCCGTGCATGTGCCCGTGCTTCGCCAACGTCTACGGCGTTTGGACGTTGCTTGGACATGGCATGCTTGGCACTTGTGTGGCACCCGAAGGATGTCTTAAATACTAGGCAAACAAATTGCATGGGCTGCTCCACAGCCAACTGCCACCTTGTTGGGGAAGACATCATGAACTACTACTCAAGAGATCCCCAAACACCGGTCTTTCGAGAACGACACCAAGGAAGAACTTTCCGGGTCCTGAAGCGACCAAGATTGGCAAGAACTCTGAATAGTGTGGCCAATGAGCCAATGGAAGTTTTAATCTATCGCAGACAGGGTTGCTTGAAGTGCTGGCCGCTTTTGGAGCGTTTTTCTTTGTGGATGCTCTTGGAACCGACCATTTTGCAAGGGTGGTCAACATGACCACCCATCCAAATGGGGAATCGCTTTCCAGCTGCGGGGCTCAACAAACATCAACAAACTTCTTAGTATAGTTTCTTGTTACTGGTAGTAAGAATGCTCCTAGTAGTAAGGCCGGGAGCTACTAGTAGCGATGCCCTTGCTCCCAGTAGCGATGCCCTTGTTCCTAGCAGTTTCTTTTTCCTAGCAACTATTTGCTACTAGTAGTACGGCCAGGAGCTGCGTTCGTAGCGTCCTTGCTCCTAGTAGCAACGGTTCCTATATTAGTGTTCCTAGGGACAACAGGTGTTTAATTTTCCTCCATGTCAGGTTGGTTCACCCTGGAGCAGAGATTGGTTCTGGGTGCTATGACTATAGCAGAAACGCTGACGTCTTCAAAACTTATTTTGCAAAGCGACATTTGGGCACTCCCACCCTGGGTGAACATCCCTGTTCAAAACCGAGAAGGGGAGGTTGGGAGTAGTTGCTAAGACAGCACACTTAGTAGAAATCGTGCTTGCAAACACTGCGGAGCACAGCCCTTCGTCTCTCTATTGGTATCATTTGGGAGCGATGTCCTCAATTCCGGCCTGTTTCGAAGAAGGATGGGAAGCTTCCCCTGTACACTGTAACGGCTGAAGCCCCGAAAAATGGAAGGATTCGAGGAGATTGGAGGTGAGAACATGAAACTCCAAGATCCTCGCCTGGACAGACTTTCACTTTGAGAGGCCCAAACCAGGGTGAAAGCTGCAAACAAAGCGGAAAAAGGTGTGTTAAGCTCCTGGGCCAAGTGTATGAGAGGAGATAGAGACGGATAGAGAGATAGACTTCAGGGCACTTCGATCACGGATCGATCCAAAACATGACCATCACATAGGAAAGCGGTTGAAAAGTCAGTCTTTGGATGTTCTCTCTTCTCTCTTTGCTGCAGGATGCCTGAGATTGATAGAGGCTCTCGGGAAAAAGCGGCCCTCGGTGCGTCAGCGTTGTTCACAGCGCCGAGTTCCGTGGATGTGGAGCAGTTCGACACCAAGGTGAACGGTCGAACGGATGTCAGAAGTCATCTCATTTGAGCAGTTCTCCAATCATCTCCAATCCTCATATTAAACAGATTAACTTTGGAACCCACTTTGTTTTTGGTCTCTCACTGTGTCTTTGCAAGAGCTCCGAAAGTTGCTATCACCTGCGAGGCCCCCTAATGGCCCGTCCCACTTTCGTGCTGTCCATAAAGTCGATAGGAGTGAACATTGTCCCGAGGTTCAACGTCATCGATTCTCATGCGTTTTTGACCAGGCTTCTACGGTTTTTAACACATCCAGATGGGACAACGATGCAACTCTTCAAGAGTCTCACGTATTAGTGCCGAGTTCAACGATCTACTGCAACAACGAGGTAGAACCAACTTGAGTGATGCCCAGCATTCTCGTTCGTTCTGCGGTCAAATTGGTACCTATTTCAGGCAGGGTCGTTGGGCTCAAACAACTAGCCACGACTCGCCAAAACGACCATCAAAACGATCGCTGAGAGTCATCGACCATTGCAGTTCTAATTACTGAGTTCAGCGAAGTAATTAAAGAGCTCCACCCATATCGCAAGTTGGCCCTGTGACCCATGGCGGCCTTGCCTGAAAGCTGAAGTTTTCAACCAATGCGGCTTCCAGGATGAAGCATCTCTAGCACTTCCGGATCAGACTCATCTTCGGTATTTTGCAGGGGGACTGCAACTGTCCTAGTTGCACACATGCTCCATCGCATCCAGGTTTGATTCATCTCGCTTGGGATGTTTGAAACAGACGAGTCCTTCTGGATTCTAGACCTTGTTCAACTCATATAATTACACATGCATGCAGCATGCATGTCAAAATACATGTCGTCTTATATGTCGTTTGCCGAGCCTGTACCACCGAGGCAAATTCAACATTGATGCGCATTGAATGTGATTTGAACTCACCCATCTCAGCAACAAGTCTCAATTCAGCATAATTCAGCATTTTGAATGGCAGAAACATGAAGACACCATGGAAACCTGAAAAGGTCATTTCTGCTTCGATGGTCTTGGTGCTGATTCTTGAGTGGAGCGTAGCAAGCTGAGGATGTTTGCCTTGCTGTTCCGGGATTGCACGTAGCAGCTTGGATGCCTTTCGATGGCACACTCCTGGGCTTTGTTTTTCTTATTTGTTTCTTTTCTACTACTGTATGTTTTCCTTGAAATACTTAGCTTGAACCAGAACCAAGCTTGACGTTTGTTGCGGATCTCTCTTCCCTGGCGTCCTGTTTGGGTGGTGCTTTCTAGCAAATCAGGCAGAGAGATTGGCCCACGGCTTCCAACACATGAGTCAAGGACAACACATTGAAGGCTCACAGTGGCCGTATACATGTTGTTTTGCAAGTGTGCTGTGAGGACTTGTCTCAAATTGGTGTGTGCCCTGCCATGACTCTTGGAGCCAGCACATTATCATTAGTAGTTTGTCGTGAAGGCACAATCCTCACAAGCATTTATCACCAGTTTGCAGTGAGCTGATTGACAAGGAAGTGATCACTTTGACTCAGTGGAACCTCATATCTTTGAGAGCACACTCTAGCCTCATGGAGTGGCCGTGGTCAGCCAGAAAAGGACTGAGTGGAAGCTGAGTGGCAGCCATTCGATGGTTTTAAAGTTGCTTCTTATTAGGCGGCTTGTGCCAAAACAATTGCCGCGCCGCCCCAAAGCGTGCAACAAATTTGCCAGGGCCAGGAAACGCTTTTTCCAAACGTGCTCCTCGCTCGCGGGCTTTGGGGCGGTGTCTTCCAAATTGCTAAATGCTCGTTCTGCTTGCTTTGGGGTCGTCGGGTCTGTCGGGCGGCGTTTGTCCACTTCCCCAGCCCCCGTTGGCCACATGGTTTCCCAGCCCTTTACCCCAACCATGTTCGCCGTCCTGGTCGAACCCTTTGGTAAACTGGCTATGCTCCGCCAACAAAGGCCCGTTTTGAAAAAAGTGATTACCAAAGAATTGAAAGCGGAGGTTTGCCTATCATGTAGGGGGTTGAGTAGAGAACTCAGAAGGTAACCTTTGATCAGTTGAGCGGTTTCTCTGGGCAAACCTCTGTTTCTCTGGTTGAATAGTTTGGTTCGGTTGCGGTGCGGTTGCCGCATAAATGCTTCGGTTCGGTATCGGTTCGGTCTTGGTGTGTCTTCGCTTCGGTCGTGCGGACAAATGCCGATTTCGTTTCAGGCGCAGCGCTTTGGTCATTGTCGGCGCTCTCTGATTTCGTGGCAGGTGTGAACTGTGACCTTTGGACACGGCTCGGTTTCAATTGGCGGAATGCTCGCGACAACTGCGTTTTGGCAGCTTGAATCTTGTTGTTTTGCAAGCGCTCTTGCTGCGAAACGCTTTGCAAGCAGGGCACGATGTGAATCTTGATTCGATGCACAGATGTCGTGGCAGGCGCAGCCCTTTGTGTGAAGTGCAGCTTTCGTGGCAGGTGCGGAATTTGTGGCAGGCGCGGATTTCGCAACAGGCACGATGTGGACCTTGAAGTGCAGATTCGTGCCGCACGCAGCACTTGTGGACCCCAAAGCGCAGATTTTGTGATATTTCGTGGCAGGTGTTGTACTTTAATCTTTTCCAGTTGCAACTGGGTCTTTTCCACTGACAAACCAGGTCTTTGGGGAGCGTGTGGCAATGGAGTGCTCAAACATGAGATTGAGAACATACATGAGAGCAACAATTAAATTGAGAACATACATGAGAGCAACACATGAGAGCATGAAAGATTTTGCAAACTTTCAGTTCAATACCTATGTCAAGTTCAACATTTGCTGCCGCCATGAAAAGATGGTCGGAATCAGAGTCAGAGACCTCTGAAAGCTCTGAGGAAGAGCTGACCCAGGAACAAAGGTCCTATGTGGAGATTGGAAACTTGTTCCTTCAGAAGGCCGGCTTGGAGTGGTGGTTTAGGAGCTTTGACGGGCCCTTCACCTTTGCCTCAGACTGTCCCTTGGTTGTTATTCTGGTGCCCTGCGTTTGTTGTGCATTGTTGTGCCTTGGATCTGCATCGTTGCGCACTTGGTTGCTATTCAGACCTTCCCAAGGCAGTGGATGTGACACACCACTCATGGCTGTGAAGATGTTGCTGGAGGCAGCTGGCAAAGAAGGATCTTTGCAGTACCTGTCATGGGCCTAGCTGTTTTGTTGGCACCTAGCTTGCTTCCTAAAGCTTCCAACTTGCCCAGGTCGGCAAGTGAGATCAAGAATGCCCCCAGGAAGTTCTTGAAGAAGAACTTCGAATGTAAACAGCCTTTTGGTATGCACTTGCTGGAAACAACACACGCACCCATTGGCCTGTGCTGCTTGCTCAGGCTGTCCAGTAACATCTTTGGAAAACCAGTCCGGTGGATGGAGAACAAGGTGTTTATTTTGTTTGCTTCTTCAATGTTTGTGTGCCTCTTTGCCAACTCACACTTGCTAGAATATGGACATTTTGCTGGCAGGTGCTGGTCTACACAGCAGGGTTTCCATGCACCCCTTACAGTACCCTCCACTACGCCAGCAAACTCCTCAAAGATGATAATTGCAAGCAGCTGTTCAAGGTCATCACAAATTTGAAGCGCATCAAGCCGGTGGAACCTTTGACAGCATTGTATTTTGAGTCAAGTCCATATCTTTCTACTGTACCATGTTTGGTTGCAAAACTTCTCAGATCGGGTTGCTGGAGAATGTCATGGGCTTCCAGAGATTCTATGAGAAGATCGTCGCTATCATTCACCGCAACTGCCCGGAGTGCCTAGGCTGATTTATAGGCTGCTCATTCCACTAGCTCAACTAATGACAAGTTGGTGGCTTGAGAATATCCAAATCCCAGGTACCAGGTTGCAGGGGTGACCATGAATCCGTCACTTGTCCAAAATCACTTTGAACATGTCACCCAATTGAAATTGGGAAAAGAACCCTCGACAACCCGGCTTCCAAGGAAACGGTATGGAGCTCCAATAGACCGGAGGAGAATCTACATGTTCCTAATCAGGACAGACATGCTGAACGACGAGGCGATGCAGGGCCCTTTGGACAAGTTCATTGCGAAAGCTCTGCGCAATATGCACATGAAGAGTGAAACAACCTGGCCCCGCAGAAGCAAAAAACATGACATCAATGACAAGTTTACATTCACACTAACTTAGTTTGAGTCCCCTTCTTCCCAAGGCAGAAGTTGCTTCTGCCGGATGATGACCCTGACGTCCAGCGTGCTCAGAATGCCAGGCACCTGCAACGCAGCAAGGCTGTTCGAAAGAGCCTTGTCCAAGTCCATACATCTTCTGCAGAAGTTTCACAAAGGCATAACGGTATGTTTGTTTTGCTTCAAAGGAAAATCAACAAGAACAGCAAATGGATTCAGCGCCACCGTGAATGGGCGAAGGACCGGAAGGCCACCAGTCGGCTACCATGCTTTTAGCAACTGTTTCCCATGCAGAGTTTTTTTGGCAACTGTTTTTGAGTGCTGTGCAGATCAGCATAAGAGCTACCCGGGGCGCCTTCAAATCAAAGTGGCCACGAGCTGCAAGCCAAGTGACCACCTTCCGGGAGATGGAGGCTTGAACTCCGTTGCTGTATTCAACTTTGTTCACTGTGTTTAGGCCTACTAAACACATCCAAACACTTCACGGCCAGGCCCTTGACCTCCAAACCGCCAGTGGGTGGGACAGGGACTTTGTGGCCAATACTTCGCAAAGCTTGAATCAGATGCCCATCGCTGACGAGTTGGGTTCGATCATGTGTTTGACGTGCCTAGCCCAATGATCAGAGACGGCTCACTGAAAGCAACAATAACTTATTAACATTAATTAATTAGAATTGATCAATGCTGCTTAGGCCCAATGGATCCTATCTATCGACCAGCAAAGGGCGGTATTTGGTGGGCAAGGAAATCCTGATTCTGATGGGGATTCCAGTGCACATGTATGACACCTCTTTCTTGAGCAACCGAGA